CTTTCCCTCTGGAAAATAAAAATAAAGGAAATCCTTACCTGCAATTTGGATATGATTTCACTCTTGGTCACATTAACAAGGTGTAGATCCTCCACTGCAAAAGCCGGGTAAGAAATAATAGAGAGAAGGCCAGCATCTATCTCCTTTGATGTGGAAGCCCTTGGCAACATGGAGTATAGAATAGACTGAGCAAAACAGGAACAGAAGAGAGGGATGTAAAACAATTTACCTACTTCAAAAGACTATGTCAAGTGCAAATGGAATAGACTATACTACTTGCAAACTGACAGAGAACTCACTGTATAATTATTTTTAACTGAGTTAGAATGAGAATGCTTCACACCAATCACTTTCACATGATCTACTAGAAACAGGGTGAGCAGCGTAGTCTGAAGCCATCCTTACTACATTAAGTTCTTGGTTCAGTTAATCAACATTTCATTTAAAAACAAAAGGGAGAGGGTGTTGGGTTTTCTCCTAGCAAAGGAAACAGAAGACTAATTTTTACCTGACAATGTTCTACTTCGTCAGGAAGAACATGAATCACTGACTTGTGTCCTCCATGAGCGCCAAAAAGATCTAGTTCATCAATTGCTTCCAAAGCAGCCTTCAAAAAAACCCAAACAATCCAAAACCATTAAATACCTTTAAGCCAAGTGTACACCCTAGCACCTGTGCTTATCCTCTGAAGGAAGTTATGTAAGACAGAAGTTTGCTCCACAGACATTTTCTCACCTTTAAAGGGAAGCTTGGCAATATTTTAGAAAAAGTAAATATTTCTCTCTTTCTGCTAGTAGGATACAGGACTGATGTGCTGGTGACCCTTCTTACAATTTAAAGGCAATGCAAAACAATGGGGAGCAGGGCTTCCACAGAGATAATATCATATTAAAGTACTTAGTAAGAAATGCTTCTCCTGTCCTATATTCCAAAATAACCCCCCATTCAGCAGCCTTTCTCTCCTCCTGCCTGAAGGGCTGTTCAAAGAGGAAGGCTTGCTCAAGGCGCCCCAGAATCAGCAGAGGCCTGTGCCCCGAGAAGAGAGCATCACCATCTCTCTGATACTATCACTTCCCAAGGGAAAAAGAAACGAGACGTTTGCTCTCTGCACAGCATGCTCCACGTCAACAGGTGAAATCACCACATCTCATACCTCTTGGCCATAATGCATTTGCCTAGCGAAAACATTAGCAGCCCAACCACTGACTCATTTGGGCACTCCTACTTTAACCTAGCAGGCTACAAAACCTGGCTTTGCAGAAGCGGGGTGTGCAGCATCACGCGGGGAATGTGGCAGGAAGAAAGCATGGGCCAGATAGCCAGAGTCAGGCTAGCAGAGCTTTCCTCTGAAATGCATATTCACAAGGTTGCGGTAGCACTGAATGTTGCTCTCTGCCCATTTTTGTCCTGCAGGTTCACGGTAATGCCAATCTCTGACAAAGGAAGGATCGCACAGCACAGCTTGCCTTCTCTCTCTGCAGAGGCAAGGGTATTCTTCTTCTTCCAACACAAACATAGGTTTACTAGTTCTGCAGAGCACCTCTCTCTAGCCGAGTGCTAGAGCAGCCGATGTTCCTGATAGCAGCAGAAAGCCCCGCTGAGGAATTGATAACCGGGACCATGGGCAGTCTTAATGGTGCAGAAAAGGCACTGAGATTCACTCAAAGGCACACGCTCTGTGCTGTAGTGCTGCCACGGGTAGCCACACAAAGCAGATAGGGGAGACAAAATGTTAAGAGGGAGAATTCCTGACGCAGATTAAAAAAAATAGAATCCATCTCTCCCTCTGCAGCAGGGCCTCCAGCGTGCCCCCCCCAGTCCCGACACTGAACAGCACTTCTATTGAACTTAGAGCCACAGAGAAGCAAAGCCGTGCAGCAAGTCCTGCAGATCGTCCTGACATCAACGTGCCCAGAAGTCGTGCAGAGACCACAGCAACCCACATCAGGCTGTTCAGCGCAAAAAAAATTCATACGGGACAGCTAAGGAATAACCTCCCCCCCAGACACTGCTCCAATGCTATTCAACTGAACTGTGGCCAAGACCAGCAGTTTCTCCCTCTTGCAGTCACACAGGAT